ACAAAGACTATGAGGCTATAAAATGAGCAAAATAATAACCATACCCATATGGACTGACAGAGCTAGATAACACCACCACATACTTCACTATAAATGCTCCTCAGAACACCACTTTGAGATATGTTACTGATACTACCCATTTCATAGATAATAAAACCAAAGCACCGGAACCATTTCAAGTTGCCCAATAAGGATGTGGTAAAACCAGTGTTTTATGTCACCTCCAATACTAGTCTTATTCTCCAAGAATGTCCATTGTTGAATAGTTAATTGCATGTCTGTCTTAGTTTTCTATTTCTGCATGACAAAATTACCCTAAAATGTAGATGTTTAAAGAAAAACACTTTTGTTGACTCACAGTGTCTCTGGGTCAGGAAGCAGAGGTGGCAGCAGGATGCCAACAACTCCAGGCCTCTCTTTAGATTGTGGTCCAGACATCCCTCTTGGCTGCAGGCTCCTCTGAAGGGTCTGTTGGGGAGCATCTGCTTCAAGTTCATTTGCAAGTTGTTGCCAAAATCTTGGTTTCCCAGAGCCTGTTGGACTGAGAGCCTCAGGTTCTGTGGCTAACAGAGACCCCCTCTGTTTCTAGCCACATGGCCACCATGGTCCTAGAATCTAGAAGTGACATTCCATTGCTTCTGCCATATTCTGCTCATTGGAAGCAAGTCACCCAGTGCCACCCATGTCCAGGAATAGAACACTGCACAGGGATGATGGCCACTGAAAGACTGCCTACCCAGACAGCCTCCTAGAACATTTCCATGCATCTAAAACTTCTTTACAAACAATTATATCCATTTCAGCTTTGCTTTACAGACATCAGGGTGGTCCCCTCATCTAACAGAATTCCTTTGTGTGGAAATCATGTGACTTCATAAACAAGTCCCCTATTGAGTAGGCATGTATCATGCTTGTCAGAAAACAAGACCTAGCTGCAAAATGATTAGCCTTGAAAACTGAAGATCAAAGACACCAGCCCCATCAGCCAGAGTGTGTGTCGGGTGCTGAGAGATGCAAGGATGAGAATTTCTGCTCTCCAGGCATCAGGCCAGAGGAGAAAAGAAAACTAAAGTCCCTGGCAAGCACCACCATGGAAGAGATAGAAGGGCCACAGAAGCTCAAGAGCATCTGGGTACATCCAGTACCTGCAAAAATCGCCACCTCCTTTCCCATAGAGGAGCAAGCTGGGCCACCAAGCTTTCTTTTTTTGTCACTGCCCCTCCCATGCATCAGGTGCTATAGCTGCAACCAGTGCCAAAGACTCTAGGGGTGGGCAGGGCCCCCTGTGCCGTTTTCCCATGATGCCTAGACCTGATTCTCCTAAATGCCCTAGAAAATGAAGTCAATGTGAATGAAAACAATTAGTCTCTTCTCAGTCAGGGTTTTGGCATCTTTTAGTCACTGTCTGAGTTATTTCATGTGCCCTTACTGAACTTTTTTTTAAAAAAGAGAATTTATCATTGTATTCTCATCCAGTGCTGAAAGTTATTTCTGTAATAATACATTACAGACTAAGCTTAATGTCTGTTGTTCAAGTGGTCACAATAAAGTCAAGGCTTGAGGACTAGTGCCGAAAAACACCCTTGTATCACAGGTGTGGTTCTCCTCCAGTGGCCTGGCATCATTACAGCCACTGCCACCTCTACTGTTGTCTCAGTCACTAATCTCTAAATATCATTCTTCTGCTTTGCTACTGCATATCAAATGGTTGCTTGCATCTTCTGAGAACGCTTCCTGTTAAAGCCACTTTTCCGAAGTGGTGAAGAAGGTAGCTGTGGCTGGAATCCTAAGTCTGATGCTTCTTCACTGTACGGCCTTGGAAAAATGCCTTCATGTGTTTGCCTGGACTTCCTTATCTTTGACGTGGGTATCCTCATACCTACCCCACAGGGTTGGGGCAGCACAGTGGCGGATCAGAGTCAGGGGCTCAGTCAACTACAAAGACATCCTGGCATGCGGGGGCCAGCATACAGATGACTTAATGCTCCCCTCTGGCCCTACCTGAGAAGCTGGTTGGTCTCCCCATGGAAGAGCCTTCAGCACACTAATCATCTCTAGGGGGCAGGGGCAGGTTCTCCCTGAGTCAGGAGAAAGGAGAGGATGAACAGGAGGCAACGCTCAGCCCTGGGAGAAGGCTTGTTCCCTAATCGGGATCTGGATGGGCCTCGTACGGTGACAAAGCGTGACTGTATCAGATAAAAGCTCCACGTCTCCATAAGCTTCCTTGCCCCAAGGAACATTCTGGACACTACTACAGCTATCACATAGCTAGCAGGCTCAAAACTATCTTGAAAGAGGGAAAACATGCTCATATTTCTCAGAAAGACCAATGAGAAAAGCTCACTGCAGGCATCAGAGCTTTCCCCAGGAGCCAGTATTCATAGGACACAAGATGGAGCAAGCAGGGAACAGAGGAGCCACCAGCTCCCACCAGGGTGGGAACACTGAGGAGTTCTGTGGTGTTGTGTTGGGGCTGCAGGGAACCTGTCAAGCAGAAAGTGTCATTCCCTACACTTAGAAAGCCCAGCTTTGCACCTGGGGAACTCTGTAAACTCAGCACTGCCTGCCAGAGGCCGTGGGAAGACTGGGCGAAAAGGGCTCAGAACCACTCGGGTTAGCATTAATCAGATGCAAGCTACCTCTCCTTGGTGTTGTGACCTCCTTGTAGATACCAGCCTCGTCCTCCTTCCCACGATGCCTGATATACTAGAGTCACCCCGGAGAGTGAGTACCCCAGAACACCACTCAGCACAAACTTGAGAAGCTCAGATGTTGAGGTATTAAAAACCAATTTCAAAGTAGTGGATGAACGGCAGAGAAGGCACATTTGCTGGGCACTGTGTTGTTCAGTGGCAGCTCCAGCTTCTACCCACCCGATGCCATCCTGTCCATCTTATATTAACGCAAAATATAGCAGAGATTACCTAAGGGAAAGGAGGGCATGTAACAAAACCATGTCTGGTAAGCATTATTTGATATAAAGAAATAAAATATGAACAGTAATTAGGAGAAGTTGTTTGTTAGCAGGTATTTTGTTGCTTCAGACAGACAAATCTCAGAGAGGTCTAGAAATCAAAAAGGAGGCTCCTGGCTGCTGGAGGGCATAAACGTGGCACCATTCATCTTTCTCGATGGAAGACTGTCACTTCTACAGCTAGTGACCCACAGGAGTCACCTGGGGAAGCGGGAGGATGGGACACACGACTTAATTTGTACTAATACCATCTCATATCACTAGTGTATCCCCATATCTCTTACTGGTGACAGGGAAATAGCTGCAATATCTTCTCAAGGAGCCTGATTATACAAATAATATATCCCTAAATTTCATACCAACCAAAGGACCCTTTTGATGCTGATGTCAGCAGCATCAAAAATCAGATTTTCTAGGCATTGTAGTGCATGCCTGCAATCCCAGCACTCTGGGAGGCTGAGGCAGGAGGATCACTAGTTCAAACCAAGTCAAGGCAACTTAGAGACTGCAAGCTCCTGACTCAAAAAATTTTTTTAAAAGGGCCAGGGATATACCTTAGCACAAAGACCCTGGTTCAATCCCCACTACAAGAAAAAAAAAATTAGATTTTTCATTTGCCAAAGCAGCACATGGCCCACCAAAAACTCCTGTATAAAGGTGGGGTGGGTTTGGGTGTGGGGTGCATGAGAAAAACTTTTGCAGCACTTGAAGTCTCCTTGCATTATCTGTCACATTCCACTAAAGCAGGAAAGCAGTCATGCAACTAAAGACTGTGCATTGAGAGTCTTGGTTCCGTGCTCAGCATTTTCAGACAGCTGAGTGGGAACTGGACTTCTCAGCTAATCGAGTCCTCGGGGGTCAGGCTGAAGGGGTAAACGCTTCCAGGGCACTCTCCAGAATTGAAGATAATGCCAGAAATTTTCTAAGCAAAGCCACTAAGTCCTCTCCTCTGGACCCCAACGGTGCTGCATCATCCTTAAAAAACATCAGAGAAACCAAACAAATCAGAGCCACAGCGGCAGGGACTCCATTTTCAAAGAAAACTGCACTACGGAGTAACAAGGACTATCAAACATAGTTACTGCCTTTTCTCAGAAATCACCTGCTGTTTTCCAGTAGCTGCTCGGGCAGGAAGTCTGCTGAAATTCCATGGCAGGATCCCATCATTCCTAAGGACTCACTAGAAGACAAAGTTTAGGTCAAGGGGGATCACAGGGCTCCTCCCCTTGACAGAGCCCCAAAGCCAAGGGACAGGTGTAGTCTGCCTAAGGCAAACAAAAACTTCCTTCAAACAACAAACAGTTGACACTACAGGCTGTCACCATGAATTAGCCTGCCCAGCAAGCGGGAGCCTATTAAGACCCTGTGCTCAATCCAGCAAGCCTTCTGCAATCAGAACCATCCTTTTCTCCTACCCAGCTGTCCCCAGAAAGCCACCCTGGACAGAAACTCACCATGGAACAGAGACACTTATGTAGCAGGCACAGGGCCTTAGACATCCTGTGCTCTCAGGGACCCAGCCTGGTACTTTCCCGAACCCCACCTGGGCACCTTGGGCTCTTCCTCATTGAAACTGATTTTTGGTATCACTTTAAATACTTCAGTGTTTTATTTTCTTAATGTTTTAGGCAAAATTAAACAGGTTTTGGGGGACTGACAACTGAAATCTGTCCTTTGAAGATTTCCATTTCCTTTCTTTCTAATTTTAAACAAAAGCAATTTTCTGGGCCCCCTGAAACATCACAGGCCATATGCACTGTGTTTACTATGTCTAATGGAGACGTAGGCATGAGCCAGTAGATAATCGTTAATTTTTTTAAATACTGTTTTCCACAATCAGCCATCCAAAAAAAAAAAAAAAAACCACACACACACTTTTCTCTGTTGAAAGCCCCATATGTTGATAAAATACTTAAATAGTATGTCTGAAAGCTACATATTTCAATCTATCACTTCAAAGTGATTCTCTACATAGTTAGATTCCAAAGGGCTTTTTAAAAAATCAAGTCACAAATCACACAAGATATATTTTCTTCAATATTTTTATTTATATAGAAATACTTAAAAAATGAAGTAGCACCATTACTTAAGTTTTACCTTTATTATGTAGAACTTTAAATGTCAGAAAAATAAAACTCTTGATACAATTTCAAATCTTGTCTCAGCAAATATAATATTAGTATTTGACCATGAGGTTAAAGGCCCTTTATCATAAAATAAAATATACTTTGTTTTTTAAACTTTGCTCAGTAAAGTACATTTAAGCTCAAGTAACATCACCTACATATACATAAACGAGTGGTAAACAAATGTATTAAAATAGAAATACTAAAACTATAGTGGTGCAACAGAATTTTTGTAACTTGCACTGGATTCTATTTATACAAATGTTAGAAAGCATTAACAGTTCCTTTTGACGTGTTTATACATTTCCGTTTTTTGTAATAATATAGAATAAAATATGCTTTATATCACTGAATAGAAAATATGCTGGGTGAAGCAGATCTAGAAGATTTGTCTGAACCTATAAAATCTCCATCCCAACAGAATACTGCTCAAAACGTTACACATTTTATGGTTTGTAATTCCGTCACAACTGTGTGATTATTAAAATAATACAGTGTTCTTTGCCATAAGGCCATACTAAAATAAAAAGATTTAACCCAGCTACAAAAAAGTTCACTGAACTTAAATTAAAATACTTGTAAACATCTTTGCAATATGAAATATAATTTTTCAAGTCAAAAAAGAATAAAATACTTCAATCTGTATTAATGCAATTTCTCTTTAAAACTTTTAAAGGTTTTTAATATATAAGAGATATGTTACAGTTTCTTTAATAAAGCTGCAGTATCCTGGTTTCACAGGAACTCCTGGCCCTTCCACGAACATTCAAAAAGGATGCACTTGTGTTCCACACTGAGCATCAGAGGAATCCACTCATGGAGGGGAACACACAAGACAGTCCACACATCCCATAGCACTATTCCCATCCTCTCCATCATCATCATCATTGTTCGTCTCTTCCTACTTTAAGAAAATGGAAAACTTGTGGGGTTCTCTTCTTTTGGAAGCTTCCTATTAAGTACAGTGTAAAAACTATCATCACTAGAATGTTGCCGTTCCTATTATTTATAGAGCATGCATTTCGGGTGGTTCATATTTCCCAGGCTACAGTACTCTCCATGTAGATAAGCTGGCAAGTTCCTTTGTTTCAAAACTATATTTTAAAACTGAGTGGATACTACAGCTTCCCAAGCTCCTGTCGGATCTCAGAGTGTGGAGTGGGTGAGGAGGGGACAGTAGGGCATCCGGAGGCCCGCCGGCAGGCGCTGGGGAAGAGGCCCAAGAAGAAGGGACCAGGTCCCCGCGCACAGAGCACGCTGGTGCAGCAGCCTCAGGAGAAGATGCGGATGGCCTGCGTGACCGCAGCGTGGCAGACCGGGCACTCGGGCTCACTCTTCTCACAGATGCGGTTGGCACACTCCATGCAAAAAAGGTTATGGCCACAGGGCACCAGCGCGGCAATCACTTCGCTCTCGAAGCACACTGAGCAGTCGCGGCTGCCCTTCCTCCGCAGCCCAGATGAAGAGGAGGAAGAGCTGGAGGAGGAGCTGGAAGACGAAGAGGAACCCGACGTGTCCGAGGACTGCAGACCAGGCAGCTGTGTCCCCAGCCCGTTGGCATACGCGGCGTAGGCCAGACCGCCTCCGCCCGGGTCGCTGCGCACCCGGCGAGCCAGGTGGTGTTCGCCCGCCCCCGGGGCCATGTGCAAGGGTGGAGACAGGCGCGGGCAGCTGGCGCCAGGGTGCAGCCGGCGATGCACTAGAAGCCCCAGGTTGGCGTTGGAGGGCACGCTGGCGCCACCCCCAGGGAAGACCACAGAGGACGAAGAGGCGGACGAGGACGCGGAGGAGCAGGAGGACGACACCGGGGCTGCAGAGCCACCTCCTGGGGACCGCTCGAACTGGGCCCAAAGAAGGGGCGCGCCAGGCGGGGGCGCGGGTGCCGGGTCAAAGGTGGGCTGCAGCTCCGGGCAGCCGTCGGGAGATGGCGCTGGGGCATCCCCAGCTGGGTACGTGTACCCATTGCCGTTATTGTTGTTGTTCCCATTGTGCGCAAAGCTGAGTGCAGGGCTGGGAGGGCTGTAGTCCGCCAGGCGTGGGGTGGCGGTCGCGCTACCGCCGGTCCCCCCACCGAAGTAAGAGTCTGTGGATGCGCTGCCGAGAGAGCTGGAGCTGTCGTTGCGGTAGCTGGAGAAGGGTTTGCGGCCTGGGGTGGGCGTGATGCTGTGGGTGGGCTTGCTCCAGAGGCTGCCAGGGCCGGACCCGCCGGAACCGTGGTGCAGATCGAAGCCCACGTCAGTGCCGTTGGCGTGGAAGTCATTCTCATCGGTTAGTTCGACGATGCCACCGGTGCGCAGGGCAATGTGTGCCTCAATCTCCTCTCGCGCGCGGTCCACATTCTCTGGCATGCCTGTCACCTCAAACACAGGCTCCTTGTCTCGGCTGGGCGTCACGATGTATGTGTGCGTCTGCTGCTGGATGCGTTTAATCGTGGCGCCCTTGGGCCCCACTACAAGCCCCACCACGCGGTAGGGCACTCGCACCTGGATGGTGGTCTGCCCCGGCAGGTTGGGTGGCCCGGGCACTGCACCGTTGAGGGCCGTGTTCTTGTTCCGCGAGGCGCGGATCATGGAGAAGTGCTCCGCTGCAGAAATGATCTCCCTCCGAGCCATGGCCACATCTTCCTTCCTGCCCGTCACAACAAAGACAGGCTCCTCCCCGCGCACTGGGGTCTTGATGTAAGTGTTGGTCTTTGCCCGCAGAGCTTTGATTTTACAACCTGAGTACCAGGGGAAGGAACGGGAAAGAGAGACACGCCCATTATCCCGGGTAACCGCGGAGACCGGGCACCGCGGGACTCGCGACAAGCGGAAAGGGGGCGTCTCCTCGCCGACCGCGGCCGCCCCACCGTTGGACGGCGGGTTCCACCCGCGAGGCGCTCGAGGAACAGCCCATTGGCTCCCTGTCCCTCCCCCGGGGACTGCAGTCGTCCCAAGCCAAGCCCCAGAATCCTAGAAAAGTCACCCCGGAGATGCCGCTGGGACCCGGCTGGGTGCACCAGCTGACTGGAAAACCTCGAGCAGGACTCGGGGAGGCGACCTTAGCCAGGATCGCGAAGCGCGTGGGGCTTGGAGGGGGCGCAGTCCCGGGACCCATTGTTACTGCGCTGCGCTCCATTCCGTTTTGCAGAAATCCAGAATCCTCCTCCCCTTCGATGCTCACTCCTCCTCCTGCGCCCTCCCAAAGGACCGATCAAAGGCCCCCTCCCCCCAACAGCTCCTATTTAAATCACCGTTCCCCAGGTGGGCTGAGTGGGGGGCACCTGGGGAGAAGGCTGTAGTCCCAGCAGAAGAGAGTGCGTCTTGCGTGGCGGCCGCGCGGCTCTCGGAGGCAGCTTGCCTGCACTTTCTTTGTCTGGGGCGCCGGCCCTACCGCGCCTCCTCCTCCTCCCCAGGCCCCCGGCGCCGAAGACCACGACCCCGTGCATCCCCGGCCCCCTTCCCCCGGACCCACCTTGCCGCCCCACGATCTCCGCGACGTGCTCGGAGCTGGGCACTGGCACGCACTCGGTCATGTTCACGCTCTTCTTTCTGGGTTCGCTGTCGTACAGAGACGCGCCCTCGTCGCTGTCCAGACCCAGCAGGGAGAGCTGGTCGAGAGCAAGCTGCAGAGCTCTCTGGTCGTCCAGGGTCTCACCCCCGCCGCTGCTGCCACCACCGCCGCCGCCGCCGCCGCCGCCTCCCCCGCCGCCGTTTCCCCCGCCGCCGTTGCGCTCCAGGTCTGCAAACAGCGAGCTGGGCATCGCGCGGCCGTGCGCGCCGCGCCCCCGCCGGCCCTCGGCTCCCCGGGCGGAGCGAGATGCCGGCACAAAGGCGGCCGGGACGCGGGCGGTCAGGGGCGGGAAGGCCAGCCAGTCGCCGAGGGCGCCGTGGTCCTCTCGGGGCGCTGGCCGTGCGTACCGGCCAGCGGCTGCAGGAGCCCCGCCGGGGTCCCCGCCCAGGTCCGCCGGCAGTTCGGATGGGCGAAAGGCTGGAGAGGTGGCCGCGCGTGGCCCCGAGCGCCCGGCTGGTGGCCACAATGCCAGCGCCCAGCGAGCAGGCGAGCAGCAGCGGCGTTTCTTGAAGGAGCCCCTCCCCGGCTCCGGCACTGCGCCCGCCCTCGCTGCACGCCTCGCCTCGCCTCCTCTCCCGCCCGCCTCTGGACTGAGCTCTGCAGCCAGACGGCTCCGGAGGGTGACGAGGAGGCGCAACGTCACCGGCGGGAGCTGACACTACAATGCTACTGACACTATCGCTGGGGGAGGCGATTGGCGCGCGCCAGGCCGGGGGCGGGCGGAGGCCGCGGGCTGAGCGAGGAGAGCGAGGCCCCCCCCCGTGCCCGCCCCTTCCACGCCCCTCCCCCCGCCGCCGCGGACGCCTCTCTTTGTTGTCTGATGCGGGACAAGCAGGCGCGGGGCGTTCATATGCACCTATCCGCCCGGGACAGCGGCAGTCTCCAAGCTTTCCCCCTTGCCCGCTAGAGAAAAAGAAACGCGCCCAACTCGGATGCCAACGGGTCGGCCCCAAAAGAGCGGTGCTTAGGAAGTCCCGTTAGTGCCCCTAAATAAACCATCAGTGCATCCACAGCCGCCACTAGGAGGAAGCCTGTCACCCACCCGTAAAGGCTGCCCGGCCTGAGGACACGGAAACTGGACCCGCGGTCCAGAGGCGCACGGGTGCAGCCGCTCCAGAGCGGCTGGCACGAGACAAAGGCTCAGTCCGCCCACGCCACTGCCCGCGCGCGCGCCCGCGCCCGCATTTCTGTTCCCTCTGGCGGCACTTGGCCCAGCTGGCCTTAGAGATGCGGATCACAAAGCCAGAGGCCGACTGCGGCGCGATCCAGGCCCGCCAGGCCGCTGGAAAACTCAGGGCGCCAGGGTCCTGCACTCCCCGGGGGTAGGGCCGCGACCCCGCTGGCTGGGACACGCGCACGAGCACCACGGGGACGCCGGCCAGCGTGCCAGCGGGGGGCGCCGGCGTGCGCGCGGGTGCCCGCGCCCCTCCCCGCCCCGCGGCCAGGCATGCGCAGTGCCCTCCGAAGTGGCCCCGCCGGTCTTTGTGCGCTCTTCGGGCGGGGCCGGCACGCTGCGCCCCCTTCCGGCCCTGGCGGGGACAGTCTCCGATAGCTAGCGCCACCCGCGGCCGAGAGGGCGGGGCCGGCCATGGGCTCCTGAGCGTCTTCCTGCGAGCTCGCCCAGCGGTTCTGCGCGCTCCTCTCCTTTGTTCCGGGATTCGACCTGCTGGGCTCATCCCATACCGGGGGCCGGCTGCAGGTCGCGGAGATCGCGAATGTCCTCGTGTGGGACGTGGATGTCCCGGGGCGATCCCGAGGTCGGAAGCAGGTGCTCCCTGTGGGCTCTGCGTGACCATTGAACCCCGGGTGTGCTCTGCAGAACGGGGGAAACAATAGGTGCCCTGCCCGCTCCCCAGGTGCCCTGAGAATTAGCTGAGATAGTTGGGGTGCTCCCTGAGACAAGGACCTCGGTAGGCAGTTCCGCAGACACGCGGCACCTTAGGGAACTGAGGGGACCCAGTCCCAATGCTCGCCTGGAGCTGTCTTGGGGAGGAGGTGCTGATTATTTCCTTAGGGAAGTGAGGCTCAGAAGCCACTTACACTGGTTATTTCCTCAGGATGTGTACCTCATCTGCGTTTGGCATCGTTCTTGAAAGAGAATGGGGGTGGAGGGTTGGCAGGTGGGGGATAGTGCCGAGTCCCTCGTGAAAGCCACCACTTGGAGCGCCGGGAGGGACTGCCTGTATTTTTTGACCCACTTTAAGGATTCCGAGTCATATTAATTTGGCGCTGGGGTGGAGAATGAAGGATGAGGAAAAGGGCGGTGCCCTGCAGACCGCAGGCAAGACGGATAAAGAACACCCGAGGCTGGCTTCCAACGCTGTGTTTTTAGGAATCTAACATCCTCCACTTTGGGGGTCACTGAGACTTCTTTCGGTACTGTTAAGGTTCCCAACTCCAATGATGAGGTGCACAGGTCCTAAGAGGAGTGTGGGAGCCCCGGCACACAGTGTTTGCTTCTGCTGGAGAGCTTGGCCACACTCTTCAGGTCCAAGTCCGTCTCCCCGGGTCTGCTCTGATAGGATTGTAGGTGGGCTAATCCTGCAGTCTGTTCACGGCAGAGGGCCAAATTCTCAGAGCAGCCCCTGGATTTCCCTAGACACAGCATTTCCCCAAATGGCATTTTGATGTCATTCTTTTTCCCCACTGGATGATGGAGTGAGAACCGTGCTTGCGTCTAGCCGCAGACGTTAAGTGTAACCGTAGGTCTTGACCCATATGGAGGATAAGCTGAATTCGACCCTGGGAATGCATGCAAGGCTTCCAGTACTGCAGTTTGCATGATGGCCCTGCAGCTGGGACTGGACTGCACCAGTAAAAACTATAAGAAAGGCCAGACTCATATTCTGCAGGCCCACCTAAGTATGGCGGGTGACAAGTGTCACAGGGTTATGACATCTGACAAATCTGCTTACAGGCTGGTGTCACTCCACACCCACCCTATAGGGAGGTTCTGGCAAGATGCCTGGTGCTAACAAGAGGCCACCCACTGTGACGTGCAAAGCATGGAGCAGATGTAGTGGCTTCACCCACAGCACTTGCTTTCTTTGCATGTATCCAGTTCTACTGACTGGTCAGAGTGTTTGGGGTCACATGAATGCTTCTATAAAACTAACAGCCCTTAGATTTCAATTCTCAATTAACAGCCCTAATCAGTCAAGACATTATGAAACTTGGAAAGCCTAGTTCTGTTTTTAAATAGATAACACACCCTCACCCCAGAGTTTCTGGTTAGAATTTCCCAGGCTCCTGTAGTACCCTGAGTTTAACTACTTTTCCTGATATGAGACAAATTCCCTAAGGATGTCTCAATGTAGCTGCACTGTTTTTTATTAGCACAAGAGAAAAAGCTTATGAAGTTTGATCTGGTAGGAGGATAGAGAATTTCAGTTGTCACAAAATGGAAAAAGGTAGCATTAGCTCACCACAGCCAGTGCAGTTAACAAGAAGCATTGTGTTGGCTTCCAGAGGCTTTGAACTACAGTATTGTGCATACATCTTGCTTAATCTGCAAATGAAATAGCTGGCAAAAGAAAGTAAAATCCTCATGTAAAAACATGCACACTTTTAGCCAACTTCTTTACTATTATTCAGCAAGAGGAAAAAAAAAAACTGTGATACCGAAATGACCAAGGTGTCAAGAGGGGAGGTCTTCCTCTTGAGCCCTGGTCGTGCCCAGTCTCAGCCATGTGGCAGTTAGGTGTCTAAATCCAGGAGCTTCCCTGGTTTTCTGAAAATGTTCCCAGAGGAGGGGATATTCGAGCTGTCCCTGCATGGCTGAGGTCTGAGAATTAACTAAGACTAGTACCCAGCACAGTGTGTGGCACCCAGCAGGGAACTAAAAGTGCTTATTACCCTGGGCATTTGGTGTATGCCTGTCATCCTAGCACTCAGGTAAAGGCAGAAGAATCAGCAAATTCAAGGCCAGCCTGGGCTACATAGGGAGTTCAAGGCCAGCGTGGACTTTACAGCGAGACTATGTCAGCAAAGAACCCCTGAAAAACTTAAATAAATAAACAATATGTTAAGTAAATGAGAGAGCCAAACTGAAAAGCCACGAAGGTATAATTTTCTTAAGTGTGTGTATGAGTAACTTAGTCTCTAGGAAACGTCTCATGACTGCAGCCACAAGGACATGATTATAACATTCATATTCACAGGTAATATCTGTTACACACTTGGAATTCACCAGGCAGTGAACCAGATGGTTTGCAAAAGACTACCCTGCTTAATCCTTATAACTTTACTGAAGAAAGTACTTTCGTTGGTCCCATTTTATAGATGCAGGTAACTTAAGTCATTTGTCAGGCAGGAGCAGATGTAAGCTTATAGCTGGTGACCCCAAACTGCAGGGCCTGGGAGGAGGACCTAGTGATTTGTTTGCAGGACACATGTTTTGGTCACATTTTCAAGGATGCAGTTTTCATCTTTTCCTTCAGGAGGCCCCCTAAGATGTTATAAACTGCGAACCCAGCACCTCTTAGTGCTGTTGAACCCAAGGTCACCCAGCTATTAGTGCACCAGAGCCTGTGGCCCTCACCAAGCAGCCCCTGCTTCTGTCTGAACCCTTGGAGGAAAAAGAAATGTTTCCCACCTTGCTTCTTACCTGGACTGCTCGTGGGTCGGGGACAGCAAAGCTCTGTCTCTGATGTTCTTCTGTTCTCTTTGTATCAACATACGTGTGACATACAACGTGTGCGGCACATGATTTTCTAAAAATATTTTCATACAGGAAATCTTACGTTGAGTGACCACACAAAGAGAATGAATGTGTGCATTCGTGTGTGCGTGTGTGTGTGTTACTAAATAAGCATTAGAAACAGAATGAATAGGTGGAAAGAAATGTGTCCAATTTTAATGACTTCTTCAGTGGGATCACAATTTTATCTTCATTTTGCTTTTCTGGGCCTGTCAAGTTCTAAACATACATCTTTACCCAATTAATTTTTAAACGTAATATACGCTTAGTTTTAAAGATTAAACAGTGCCAAAAAATCTAATAAATGAAAAGGACTCCCCGTCCTATCTTTGCCATAAGTAGAAGCCAATTTAAAAAAAATCTGAAACACATCCTGGTACATATTTGTTTTTATCAAAGCTTTTGGAATTATAAGTGTTGAAGGCAAAAGTTTCATAAATTTTATTAAGTCAGCCTTTACCGTTTTAAACATCACTTAGTTAATAACCTGTGATAGCCCCTCAGCAATAGCAGCAAAGAACAAGTGAAGGGTAAAGTAATTTAAAAATCTCTCGGTTACAGGGAAACCAGAGGAGGCTAGCTCCTTGCTCACACTCCTCAGCAAGGAGGGACTGTGTCTTCTTTCTAAGCAGAGATGAAATAGATCCATGAAATTTGAACATGTTTTGCAACTAAAATCTCTCTTTTCCAAAGTCTTAGGTTGAACCCCTATCTATAAAGTGGCAAAACCAGAGCGGATGGGACCACAGTGTTACTCAGTGACCCGCACTGCAGTCCAGCACTCTGACAGCGAGTGCACTGAAAGCCAGAATAGGAAATGGCCATGCTGGCTCAGCACCCCTCAGTGTGGAGCTGGGGTAAGCGGCGATCAGAGTCCCAGTGCGATAGTTCTGCCTTTGGATTGCGTAAAGGAATCTGAGATTACCCCTGCTAAATGCCTCCTTAGGCACCATGGTTTGGCTCTGGGGCAGAATCATCTCTTCTAAGAGGTTGCTCCAAGAATTGCTCCCTAAATCCACTAGGGGACAGTTAAAGAAGGGATGGTTATGCAGGACTCAAAAGACAGGCAGCCTCCCAGCTTTCTCTCCACTCCCGCTGACCTCACACAGTGTAACATCTGGGGGAGGGATCATCTGTGAGGACAGCGCAGCCTGAGCCAGGAAAAGGGGTGACACTGATAGCAAACGCAATCCCAGAGCAGCGGGCGTCTATCAGGAGGACCTCCATACCACGAAGTAAAACTAAGATGGTAGACAGATGATAGAGAATGTTCTGCCATAAAACTTAAGTCACAAGGAGGAACATGAATGCAGCTTGAGACCATAATTGAAATACATCAGACACACAGGTTAAATATGGCATGGCGTCTCTTATATAAGAAACCCAACGTGTAAATAATTTAAAGAGCAAAATAAAAGGTACACAGTGTGAAACGGGAAGATAGCTCTTTTGCAAATGGGAAGGGGGTCAAGAGATGGAGCGGGATGGTAGGAGAAGGAAAGAGAATGGAAAAGAATTAAGAAACGTCATGTGTGTGTACCAACCTCTCATAAGGGATGTGATCATTGTGTACTGCAAACATGGAGTAATAAAAAAGAAGGAAAGAAACCACCCTGGCTCAGTGTGCACACTGGAGCCTCTCTCCTCCCTGCACAGCTCACCCACAGGTACACGTTAGTGAGTAACTAGGCACACTCAACATTTTGGGAAGAGTTGGAACTAGGATTGGAATCCAGTGACTCCAGCTGGCCTTCTGAAATAGGGATGTGTTCAGAAAAAGAGAGCCAGAATTGTGCTGAGAGACAAGCCTATGACGAGGGAAATAACTCAAGGGACCTATACCCTTGAGACAAGAGCTTCTAATATGTATTCCTCAGAGGTGACAATGAGGGTGTGGGGACAATTAGGGTAGAGCGCCTCGTAGTCAAAAGCGCTTAGTGAAGACAAGTTTAAAACAGCCCTACTTGGCAAAGGACACAGTACACAAGCAAAGACACTGACATCTCTCCAGTATTTAAAGGACCATTCAATGAGAGTAGTCCTTGAAACTCTACAGAGCAGGTGAGGCTTGATGCTTTGGGGAGACAACACTGGAACAGGGCAAGAGACTCACCACCTCACAGCCACGCACACACACACACACACACACACACACACACACACACACTCACTCCCCATCCGGAGATACCTACGGGTCTGTGCACTCTTTGGATAGATGGGTGAATTTTATGAGTGTGACATTGTGAGTTTTCCTCAGTGGTCTCTTGACATTCAGCTGGTCGACCGTGAGCTTTGCTTTTCTCACCTGTAAAATGCAGGAATAACTGGCCTCCTGTGGACAAATGACTACTGTGGGTGCTTCCTTCCAGCCAGTAGATGGCCTAGTGGGATAAGGGCTTTCTTTGATAGACAGTGGTGTGCGAAAAAATTTAAAACTCTCTCATCTTGCTCAGTGCTTTCACTATATCACCACACCTTCTGTGTTCTCATAATATTTTTTAAACAGCAAAAAATACTTTTATTCTCTAAGAGATTTTCATGTTTAACATCAGCAAAAGTCAAGATGCTGACTAATGAAATACCACCATGACAGTCTCAGAAGTAACTCTGAACTGCCTCTGAACACAAAAGCATGAAACACCAAATAAATAAAGCAAATACCAAAGTCAGCACTAATAGATTCAAGGAAAATGCACCCTACCCTGAAGGGTGATTGATGCTCAGGTAGGACCGGATTCACTTTACTCCCTGGAGCAAGACTGACTTCTGGGTTCCACAGTTTCTGGACCTGCTGGTAGGGATGACCTTGAGCAACTGTCTCCTCGTCCGGTACCCAGTTTCCTTCTCTGTCAAACAGGGGTGCCTGGCTCACTGCTGATATCAGAAGTGATGCTCACCTAACTGGTTAGAATTTTGCAAAAGAAAACAGGGCACCTTTGTATCCTGCCATATTTTACTGTGCTGAGCAGCTGCAGGAATGCAAGTAACAGATACTGGCCTCTAGGGAGAGCTGGGTCCTCAAAATATACTTAAGGTTGAGGACTAAATCAAACCTACCATGTGACAAAGGTAGAAACTCATATGAATGGGGGAAAAGATTCCTTTGAAAACAATAGAAATAACTGGGTTTCAAGAAACTATACATAAGGTTGGGTTTTTTAACCTCATGATGTATACCCAGACAAATTCTAGGTGGATTAAGGAGTTAACCTTCAAAAATGAACTCAAGGAACTGAACAGAAATGTAGGTGACTGCTTCTATAACTCTGAAGTAGGGGAAGGTCTTCCAAGCATGAGCATAGGGGCAGAAATCACCCAAGGAAATATCTAGAGAAAGTAACCAGAACCTCTAGAGGACTCTAGAGAACTATGCAGCAGCCTCCCACCCCCAGTCTGGTGTACATAACCCCGTGAGCAGTAGTCACATTGAGAGGTACACAAGTGGTTCTCTTTGAGTTAAATACCACATGCAGACTTTCTTCCTTTAAGGATCCAGTTGTTTTCTTGCAACTGAGTCATTAAATGAATTGGTCACAAATAAAGGATTGGTCAAAGGAAACGCCAGCTTAATGATTTCAATTTTATTCTCACAATTTTTACATGCAGTCAGGTAATGTGTAACAGAACATAAATCTGCAGTGTGGTACTGTGCACAACCTTGACCAGTGTACACAGGCGAGGACTGTAGGGAGTTCATAGCAGAGAGATCTGGCTTCTTGTAACCACAAAACAGACTTCATTTTTGGCCCTGGAACAAATACAAAATGAGACGCAAAAAAGTTTCATATCTGAAATGAAAAGAGCAGAAAAGTTGTCAACTTACACTATTTATGGAGAGCTTCCAACGCTGCAGGACTATGCAAGTTGCTCCCGTTAGTTTTCTTAATAACCTGTGAAACAGTAAGATGATCTGTGCTTTCCCAGAGCTTGGCTGCTAAGTAGCAGGCAGACCCTGGGCAGTGGAGCAGGATCCTCCCTCACTAGTTGTCATCAAGGGTTATACCAGTTATTACAGGTGAATTTTAGAGTGAAATGCTTACATATCCACACACACATGCATAATATACATATATACATGTGTGTGCCTGACAGTTCTTCAAATTCTGTACTATAACCATTTCAAAGCCATCGATCAAGCTACCAGCTATTGAACCACTGTGGAAGATTCCGCTGACTGCAATGATGAACAGACTTCCTAATGATCAGCAAAGCCAGGTTGTAATTTAGGACTCTTGTCGTCCTGGGGGGCCTGCCCTAGACCCTGGTCACGCAGGGAGAGGTGGCCTCCTCTGTGACTTGTGACTCCTTATACCCCCGACTCCAAAACATCCACACTCTGTCTCCTGTAGATGGTCACCCCTGTTTGGATTTGAGGAGCACATACCTGCAATGAGACCCCAGATTAACAGTTAGGGTGTCACACAACACAGGTTTGGGCCTTCTAGCGGGGGAGGGGGCTTGGACTAAAGTCCTGCCCAGACTTTCATACCAGGCAGGGAGTAGCAACCAGAAGAGGAGGAAAATGAGACTGGGCTTCTCTTGCCTGACACAAAATAATTTATCTAACTCTTTGACTCAGAAAATAATGTAAAGTAACTATTGGTCCAAGTACTGTTGCTAATTCTGTTTCATGTGTGAGAACCCATTACAAGTCAAACTACTGGGCAAGCTGGTTGTAAAGAACCTTTGCATGTGGTACCGTTTCTGTTTCCTGGCTTCCTTCCTCTTTTGTTTCCCTCCCACTCCTCCTCTTTACACAGATCTTTAGAGACACCTTCTGTGCCAGGCATTGCTGCGGCACTGAGCTCTGAGTGATCAAGAGATAAGCTCTCGAGTTGCTAAGACTAGCAGTGGGCCAGCCCTGACCACATCCACAGACAGATGCATAATTACAAACAGGCAAATGCACCTGAAAGATCCATTTGTTTGTTGGACGCCTTTGATTCAAGGCTTCCTGTGGAGTCAGGGAAGGATGGACATCTGTTTTTCTCTTGGACTCAGGACTGGTACAGATTCCCACCGACCACCAAGATGGTAGCGTCTCTTACAGCTAAGCAGCATTGGGAGCACTTCTATGAACACAGAAGCTGATTGCATAAAATTTTCCTAAAACCTTCATAGGCACAAATTCTTGCAGTGTAATAATACGAATTATCCAAGTTAGAAACTAGAACTTTTACAGAAGACGCCGATGCCAAATTCTGAGAAGATGCAAAACATGCAAAGAGAGGCTATGAGAGGCTTAAAAGACACTTGTTTCCCTCGTGGTGTCCTTGTACCACAAAGTGGAAGAGGCAGGATAGATGTCACAAATGCCACCTGGTATTTCATTCCTTTTCTTTCAGTTACTCTAAGCTAAATGATTTCTAGTGAATTAATGTTGAACAGGGGGCAGGGGAGTCACTTCAAAATAACAAAAACCCAGCTGGACACTTTGGCCAGCTAAAAGCAGAAACTTTGGCTCGAGCTCCTCGTAGCCATGGCCAATAAATGAAAAATTTTGCACAGATAGTAATATTCTCCATGTGGCTTTAGACAGAGAAGACAGAAGTAACTTTGTATTGAATGAAATGGGGTCTTAGAAGGAAAATTCACTTGTGCCTCTGTTGTGGGCAGCGTGGATTTTTGATTGCTGGTGGAGCTTGTGCCTTTTTACTAATAGTTTTCATTGTCTCTAGTAAAGTATAAATTTCCAAGAAATTTACCTCGAGAAAGCAGTGATCAAGCAGGCATTTCCTGGCAGCTTCTTTCCCACCAAGCTCCCTGGTAGTGAACATTCCAGCAAAGGAAACTCTTCTCATTTAAATTATGCTACACACACACACTGACGCACAAGTCTGGGTAGAAGGCGCCCTGCAGGGCAAACCCCCAGGGCTGCAGGATGAGCCTAGGACCAGGAGGACCAGGAGTAACGCTCCCCCTACAACCACCTGGGCTAAATTTCCTCTCAGTAGCCAACAATGCCAGGTGAAGAGAGGGTTTTCTTTCTTTGAAGGATTTGAGAAAACTTCAAACACCAGGATCAGAGCTAGGAAAGGACTGAGGAAGGGAGACTGTCTTGACTCAAGTGAATCTTTTTAGACCCTGCAATTTGTTAAAAACTTCTCAAGTGTCCCCCTCAAAGAACCAAGAACTAAAGATGCCTACAACCAGCTTGGTCCAGGCTAAGGCAGAGCAGGATGGGAACTAAACACCCCGAGGCCCCAGGACTGCCCCCGGCCTGCTTTTTCCCTTTCCCTCTGCTCCCCTCTCCTTCCTCCCGTCCTTTTTCTCTCCCTTCTTACCAATTACCCAAAAACACGTTGCAGGCTTGTGAGCTCTGTCACCAGCCAGATGCATGCAACACCCCGTGGGTACCTCTGTTACTTCTGTTGCAAAATGACGCTTGTAACAGGGCTTACTTTAGAAAGTGCTCACTTGAAGTGAGTGGATTCTTTGAAGTGCTTTGCCCATGTCCCACTCGGAGGAGGGGCTCGGGGTGGCCTGCAGTTCGCATGTCCCCTCTTGCTTTGTTTCCCACCTGTACAGCACACCACGTCCTCATGACTCCATCCAGAATGCTCTTCTTTTTCACTATTTTGTTTTTGTGATTTCTACTTGTAGGTCCCATGCAGCTGCCACATCCCCAGTGATGCCTCCTACACCTACTCTGGAATCAAAAGCCATCCCACCCCCATCTTCCATCACCAGCTGCGGTCCCTTCCCTCCACCTGGATGCAAGGTTCAGTGTGGGTCCTCTCAGCTGCCCTGCCAGGATACAGGTTTGTGGGAAATCTCTGTGCTTCTTTTCCTGGGCTATCTCAGAAGCTGTTCCTCCAGTGCCTCAGTTTCCACTTAGGGGAAGTGGGAGGATATTAACCATATAACACTCAATGAAGTTAGCATGAAAGCAAAATGAAAGATAGATCCTGGTGCAGGGCCTGACACAAAGGAAGAGAGCTCACATCACAGGGCCCAAGAGGCTGCCTATGGGGACTAGACTGGCAGAATAATTGCCACGCTGAGTCATGGAGGTCAGGGTGAGAAGGCCTCCAACTGGCCGTGTGCATGCACAGGGTGCTCTGGTGAATGGGACCAGCAGGTGCAAAGCCACAGATAACCTTAATGTCCCCACCACAGCGGGCCAGTCTGCAGTCACACAAGTGCTACTGTCCCTGAAGCCCTGCAGTGAGGAGGGAGAAGCCTCCGACTGCAGCCTCACTGTTCCCAGGAGCCACATCTGTGGCTGGCGCCCTGCCACCACATGTGCCTCGGCCTGGCACGTGGTGGGCTCCTGGGCCACGGGCACCACTGTCCTGGTGTGTCATCTGCTGGGAAATCCGGGGCCTCTAGTAAGCACAGCCAGCTGAACTCAGAACACAGGCAAGACCATCAACAGGGATAGAGAGCCAGCTGTGGCCAGGAGTCAAGAGTCCTCCCAGGCCGAGATGCAACCCGCTTTACCAGCGTCTGCTTTGTTGCAGCAGTCACAGAGAAAACTACTTGTGACAGCTTCTTCCTGGGGTGCTCACTCTTCACGTGGCAGCCTTTTTGTTTTTCATTTTTCCTTGGAATGTAATTTCAAAGTTACAGAAATGCTGAAAAAATAATACCAAGAACACTCATATACTCTTTACATGGATGCAGCTACTACTGTTTGTCCCATTTTCTTTGTCACTGCACTCTCCTCTCTCTGTATCATCCTATGTGTATACACACACACACACACACACACACACACACACATTTTCTGAAACACTGAGAGCTACTTGGATCTATTGTGATCCTTCAACCTTAAACATTCCAATATTTATTTCTAAAATTGGGAATACTCTCTTAAAAACCACACTGTAGCAACCAGTTTCCATAAACTCAGCATGGATGTGATATTTTTATCAAATCTGCTGCCCTGTCCCAATCTCATCAGTGAAGTACTTATTCAGTTCTCTTTAGAATAAAAGGTGACAAGCCCAGCTTGACTACCCTATTGGCTTTAAAATCTTCAAGTTTGGAGTGAATTAACACACACACTGGCCACTGTTTCACACAGCCCACAAAGTTTTGTCTAACAGCTTTCACATTTCTATTATTGTTGTCAGAAAGGGCCTCAGAGCTTGTATCAGTGGTACAGGCTGGCTGATGTCCCAGCAAGAGAGCCCTCTGGGTAATCCCCCCCTTGGAGAGTTGTTTACCCCAACTGGGGTCAGCCAAGCCCTTTTTGTGGATTTAACTATTCTTTCAGCATTTATCCTTTGTGCACCTGCCAACATTGGGCATTAATGATAAATTTGCTGAGTCAGCAGACATTTAAGAACCCAGACTTAGAAACAGTACAAAGTTGGGTTGTGCCACAACCAAACTACCCACTGGCTGCAAGATTTGGCTAAGTCACTGTTTATACTTGTTCCTTCAGCTACCTGTCCTCTTCAACTTATGACGAGGCTGCACCTCAGTAACCCTGTAATTGGAAAAGTTGTATTACCAATGCATTTACAAGTGAGCATCCCTTCCCTGAAATGCATGGCACCAGAACTGTTTCACATAGATTCTTTTCAGCCCTTGGAATAGTTGCATATATGTAATGAGAAATTTGGGGATAAGACAAACCTAAATGTATGTCACAGCATTCATCTAATGTTTAGTCCACACTTTACGTGTATAGCCTAAGGGTAATTTCATACAATATTTTTAGTGCATCTGTATTCTGACCTGTCACACCAAGTCAGGTTTGGAATTTTCTACTTGCCGTGTCATGTTAGGGACCAAACTGCTTCCAACTATGAAGCATCTCAAATTCCAGGCTTTTGGATTAGAAATGTCCAGTCTATAATGCATAATTTAAAAATACAGTGAATGTTTAATATTTTTAAGCTTTATTACAGTAGAAGACACATCACTGCAAACACAGTTATGCCACATTCTTGCCGCTTTAGGAAGCAGTTCTGGAAGTCCTCATCCCTGAGTGTCTTTAGTTGTGCTGTCATGGCTGCCTTGATGTCCTGCATGGATGCAAACATTTATTTTTCAGTCATTTTTACTTTGGGAGAGAGCCAGTAACCTCACAGTGCCAGGCGCAGTGAATCAGGTGGATGAGGGCACACAGCCATATTTTTACGAGCCTGCCACTTCGTTAGATGGCACTTGGTGGCAGCATTCACAGTATTTTTGATCACATTTTTTAAGGACACAAAAGAGGACTTCTTGAACTGCTTCATAAAGTGGGAATAATGATGGGATGAGTGTGCGCAGAGCCAGGGAGCATATTTTAAGGGTGACTGTTGGCAATGTGTCTTTTAGTGTAATAATCTTTCATTTAACCATGCAGCATATATTTCAATCTTTCTGTGCACACTGAACTCTGCAACTGGTTGTCTCCTCTCACGATCTCCTGTTGTACTTGCTGCTCCTGCCCAGAACTGAAGGAGTCAAGTGTAGGAAAGGATCAAAATGCACAATTTGAACTGTGGTTTCTGCTGATGAATGTATGTCACTTTTACATCGTCCTGAAGTCAAAACTCATAAGATGAACCACTCTAAGTCAGAGACTGTCTACAGTTAAAAGCTTGCTATGAAGCTCAAATGGGGACATCTGTGCCACTGCTGTGAACATCAGGGAGACAGGTACATGCCTGAGTGTGCACACGCACATGCACACACACACACACACACACACACACACACACACACACAATCAGCAGGTTTGTGTAGCAGCAATGTACAACACTTCTCCATGGGGCTCCAGGAGCTGCAGTGTCTGGGGTCGCCAGTGGAGTAAGATGCGTTCCCAGATGTATCTGACCAGAGACTGAAATTCAAAGGAGATTTATAAGCCGGCGGGCAGGGGAAGGAGGAAAGAGCCTGTGGAGGAGCACTCTTAGGCCCACCAGAGCAGGAGTGTCAGTGGGCAGCAGATGAGGCTGGGATCGTACCACACACACACCGGCAGCACTGGTCACCTGGAGGGAGAAGTCCTGTGAGCTGCTGCAGGCCACTCGAATAGATCACTATAATGACCTCCTGTCACCCAGAGTTATCGGGCTCAGGCCACCAGGAGAAGCGAGAACAGAACTGACCAAGGGGCCATGAGCAGATCTGTCCATTTGTCCCTTTTCACACCTAAAATAGACACTTTTTCAAGAAAATTTCTTTTCTAGTTGTAAAATTAATAAAGCTCATTAGAGATGATTTTGAAAATATAAAACAAATCTCTTTTCCCATTTTCAGTTAAGAAACTCAGTAACAGCAATGTTATCTGGCCTGTCAAGTTCATTAAAAGGCTGAATAGCTGCATATTAAGTCATTTAACTCTGCAGTGTCCCCTTTGGCCTTTCTTCCACAGTCTGAGGAAGAACCAGCCCTCCTGTGGGCCTCACTTTCAGAGGCCACGTCCCTTAGATCCCTTTCCTGCCAGGGGGAAAGAGCTCTGTTGAGGCATGTGGCCGCACTGGTGTCCCTAGAGGCAATCCACTTTAAAAGCAAAGGATTTTGCTGAATGTAAAAACCAGCTTTTAAATCACACAGGACAAAGCGGCATGGTTCTTAGCTAAAGGCTCCCAGCAGAACCACTCAAGAAAGCTTGGTCTCACCTGCCCACAAAGTCATCCACTCACCAGTTACTGGGTGCTTCAGTAGCTGGGTGTGGCCAGCTCCAGCCCCACCAGCCCCAGGCGATATTCAGGCCTAGGAGTTTAAGAACCATTCCATCAGAGCTGTGTTTATTCTCCTGACAGCTGGGGAAGGGACCCCAGAGAGAACTAGTTAAGCCAAAGTCCAAAGCTGGAATTCCCTCATTAGAGCACCACTCACCCCCTTGTTCTTGTGAATAGATTGGTCCCCTGAGCTTTAAAACACAGTTTACTTCCACAAGTAAGTGCTTGCTCATTCTCTTCCAGGAACAGATTTGCCCAGGGAGCTGAGGCCCAGCTCTGTAATCAGCCCTTAGCTCCTCTGGGACAACATTTAGTGAAAACAGCAAGAAGCAGAAATTTGATTCTTTTGGATTACTTGTCTGGTCAGGACAACCTAGTTTGTCATTTTTTAAAAAAAATACATTAATTTGCTTTTTTTACTGATTTTTTAAATATTGCTTTATCCAAGTGTTAATTAAAGGATTATGTTTTATTTTGCAAAGAGATTATAAGAGAATCATAACTGAGCTGCTTAGGTTACCCCAAGCCACTAAAACTCAGATTCTGATTTTACATAAAACTCTTTGGAGGGGCTGGGGATTTAGCTCAGTGGCATAAGCGCCTGCCTGGCAAAAGCGAGGTTTTGAGTTCAATCTCTGTACCAAAACAAAACAAAACAACAATAACAAAAAACTCTTTTGGAAAGGTAAGTTATGCACAGGGAGCAACATGCCTGTCCCAGGCATGACCCCCATGTCCAAAACCCTGTATGTGGCCCCAAGCCCAGCTCAGCCCACCTTTTGACACTTGAGGTGGGAGACACTGAACCACAGCCACAACATTTCTCCCAAAGCCCTTCTGAGATGCCTCTCCCCTCGGGGCCATGGTGGCCCAGGGCTTCTGATCCCATGCCTTATACATGTCCCTGATCCTTCTTTAGATGTTTGTGAAACATTAAGATAAAGATCAAACACCTGACAGGATTCTTAAGAGGAATTAGAAGGGAAAAAATCATCATTTCCCAACCTTTGAATTTTATTGTCTTATCTGTGGCTTGTGGAATAGATTTAAAACACACACCTAATAGGGATGCACGGTGGAAGAGCCCAGCCCTCCCAAGAGTAGTAGCTCACTCTTTTTGTCTTCTGGGGCTGCCTGGTCCCTGGGGGTATTAATATTTCTGCTCCATTCTCTCCCACATGCAGCTCCTCAGTCCAAACACCTCACAGAACTTTTTTCTA